AATTTACCGAAACAGCCACAACATTTCCTGGATGATAAACATTCTAAACACACACAAAAAAGAGCCTCTGAAAGAGAATCCAAGCTCTCTATAAGAGGAGTCCCTTCCTGCTGCTGCCTTCTGTATGGTTTGAATGCAATCAAGTGGTGCCTGTCATGTGGTTTTATAAAGTGGGTGGGGTCAGGTTGGGCTGTTTGCCACTAGAGACTTGATTGGCTGTGCAGATTTTTAAAGACGCTGCTTTAGCAGCAGTTGCCACTGCAGCACAAGGATTTTCACAGTGGGGCTGAAGGTAAGTTGCAGCAGTCATTTTGTGGTGGGCTCCGCCTCTTGTGGCAGCCATTTTGTAGCTACACCCACCATGCTGTGCCAGACTTCCAAATGTGCCTATAGACTTAAAACGTTGGGGACTCCTGACCTTGCACATTATAGAATGTTGTTTTCAGAATTATTCGCATTTAAAGATGCCATTGAAAAAGTTTGTCTACAGTATGCATAAGAATTAAAGCTGTGGACTGTGATACATAAAAGTTTTTCTGCTACATTTGGAGAGAGTAAAACTATCTTTTTTTAAAAGTTATTTTCAGTTTTCACAAAAACATATTCATTTAAGACTTATACATTTCATAATATAAAATTCTTCTTTCTTGTTTAGCATCAAATATTCTTAACTAGCATACTTTCAGTTCTAATTTGTCTTCTTCATCTTTAGCCAGGCATAAATTATTTCCCATCTGTCCCAAAAAAATTCCTCTGGCTTATTTTGTAATAAGATATTTAATTTATCCATTTCTGCTACTTCAAGAATCTTATATTTAAGTTCTCTTATAGTAGGTGTAGTTTTTGATTTCCACCGCTTTTCTATAAGAATTCTGGCTGCTTTTAAATAAATATACGATTATATGTGTATGGTCTTTTATTGTATCTGGTATCATATTAAGTAAGTATGTTTCTGGTGTTAAAGGTATATTAACTTTTAATATGTCTAGAAATACTTTATGAATTTTCCCCCCAAAATTCTGCATTTTGCCACATCTCCACCATATGTGGAGGTATGAGCCTATATTTCTTCTACATCTCCAACAGATGTTTGATGCAAAACGTTTTCCGAAGGCAACTTTAACGGGTCCAGTGCCACCTATAAAACATTTTATATATATTTTCCTTGTATGGAGTCGCTCTCACATATTTTAATGCTTTCCATGTTTTTATCCATTGATCTATTTCTATTGTGTGCCCAGTCTCCTTTATCCAAGCTTTCATTGACGTTTTTATGGTCTCCTCTTGTAAAAAGTCCTCTAGCAATTGGTGGATTAATCAAGGAGCATGGAGGAAGAAACAAGAAAATAGAAAATACATGGGACCCGCGATACTCGCGGGGGGGAGGCAGAGGAGGAAGCAGCAGGAGGAGGGAAGTACCCCCCCATCCTGCTGGTTCCCCCCTGTCCTCCACCCCCCTCCATCTCCCCCCAGCTCCTTTCCCCCCCC